TCTGGCCTTTCAGGGCAGGCCCAGTGCGTGGCTGTTGACAGCGGAGCTTTCTGGCCAGGATGGCAGGGTGCTTCCCTGGAGGGGGCGGGGCGCTCTGGCTGTTTCTCCCCGAGGTCCCCCCCCTTCCCCCGGGGAAGCCCAGCCATCAGGGAAAAGAAAGAGGCCTTAGTTTGGGCCTTGGGATGCCACTGGTCCCCCCAAAAATAGGGGGATTTCCCCCAAATAGGGAGCACTTTACAAGAAACCACACACACCCTCAATCCCCAGAGAGCCGGGCCCAGCGGTGCAGGGACAGGCTCAGCGGGGAGGGGCACAGCTCTCAGCTCCTCTTCGGGAAGGAAAACATACATTTCTTTTTGATGATATGATCTGTGCCCGACCTAGAACATTATACGTGTGTGTGTGTGTGAAAATAAAAACCTAAGCACCGCCCCCTGTTCACGGCTCTGTGTTCTCCTCACCCTTTTCATTTTGTTCCTCCCTTATTCTCCTTTTTTATTTTTATTTTTGTTGCTGTCAGAGAGGAAAGGAGAGGGAGAGAGAGAGGGAAGCATCAATGATGAGAGAGAATCATGGATCGGCTGCCTCCTGCACGCCCCACACTGGGGATTGAGCCCACAACCCGGGCCTGTGCCCTGACCTCCTGGTTCATAGGTCCACGCTCAGCCACCGAGCACGCTAGCGGCTGAGCTTTCTCCCACGCTGCTCAGCAGACTTAACACAGCCCTGGCGAGTCCTGAACTTCACAGAAATTAAGGGTCCTAAACAGCAATCATTCCTGGCACCAGTTGGTTTACTGGTCGCTCCCACGGAAAGAAACCCAATGAAGTTTACGGTTTTTAAAGTCGCACCATATAATCCTTTAGACTCCGTGGCACTGAGCATGTTTAACAGCCCATGGGGTTGTTGGGGCATCTCTGGTTTGTGGAAAAGAATGAAGACTTGGTTTTTTGGGGGGTTTTTTAGTCTTTTTCTCAGGAAACTCCGTAGTGGCTGATCCACCCATTGTAGCCGCGGGCCATGGCGTGAGCGTGAGACAGCTGTCCCTGAGTGCGGGCGGGGAGGTGTGGCCTTTGCGGGCTGGAGCTCCATGACCAACAGCGAAGGAAGCACTTCAAGACCAAGCCCACCTCGCTGCCGTGTGGCTGTGGCCATGGCCGTGGGAGCCAGCGGCTTCGTCACACAGGACAGGGCATGGTTCCGTGATGGGCGTCCACACATTGAAAACAAACACACCTGCCGACAGGCCGAGGGTTCGAATGATGGGGGTTGTGACGTTTCTCCTGGAAACTCGGGCCATGGCTCCTTTGAAGTTCAAGGCTGCAGAGGAGCAATCAGGGTCCCTGACGTGCTGGGCTGTGGTGTCTGGGTGCCTGGTAGGCAGCTCAGGTTTCTTCCTGTGCAGTTGGGCCTCTGTCCGGGGTCCTCCTGGGAACGCGTTTATGCCCCCAATTCTAGAGCCACGATGAGAAAGCAACTACACAGAGTTGACTTTTTTCTTTAATACGTTTCTATTGATTTTTAGAGAGAGAAGGATAGATAGAAACATTGACGAGAGAGAACATCACTGATTGATCGGCTGCCTTCTGCACGCCCCCCACTGGGGATCAAGCCCACAACCTGGGCTTATGCCCTGATCGGGAATCAAACCAGCGACCTCTTGGTTCATAGGTCAACACTCAACCACTGAGCCACACAGGCTGGGCAAGAGTCGACTGCTGATGGCAGTGGAGACTGGACGGACAAACGCCTGCTTCCAAAGAGCAGGTGGGAGGGACGCTGAACAGGAGGCCCAGCGGCAGGACATTTTCCGTGAGACGCGTGCTGAGTGTGGGTGTGGGAGGAAGGAGGGGTGGGCAGAGGTCAGCAGGCAGGTGTGGGCACGGCACTGGGCAGGCTCCGTGAGGGACGGGATGCCAGTGTCCTCAAGAACTAACAGGGGGGAAAGAGGACGGACAGGAAGAAGCTGGGAAAGGCCTTCAGGATCCTGAGGACCAGCCGGGCCCATGGGCTTCCTGTAGAAATCCCGTGCACACGCAGACAGACAAACCCACAGGGGACAGTCAGAGCGGGTCACACTGAGGGGCAGCTGATGGGGCAGCTGATGGCAGCGACAAGGGCACAAGGGGCGGCAAGGGCAGGCCCAGCAGAAACCTGCCCGGGGCTTGGAGGGAGGAGGGACCAGGAGAGTGACAGACAAGGGCCAGGGCTGGGCTCTGGGCATCAGCTGGAGGCAGGGAGGGAGGAGCTAAGAGCCCACCTAACAAGCACCAGACGGGACAGGAAAAATGAGACAAAGGGAGGGTTTGGCACGTCTGTGAGAAAAGATTCCCATCGGCCATTCCCACCGCCTTTTCCAGCTGAGAAGAAGCCCCTGAGGAGGAGGCCCATTAGGAGTGAGGTTCGCACACT